AAATTGTAATATTTTATTTTTTTAAATTTTAAATGTTAAATTATACTTTTTAAATAAAAAAAAAAAATGTAAAATAAATGTAACAAAAAAAAAAAAATTTATTTTATTTTGTTTTTATTTTTTTTATAAAAAGGATTTTTGTTTTTTTTTTTTTCGTTTGTATTACCAAAGCTTGCGCAAATTTTGTTTTAAAACATTCGAAAAAAAAAAAAAAAATGATCCTTGAGAACCTGTTTGAAGGTCGTTTCCCCACCTATTTATATGCTAATATTAAAACAAAAAAAAATTTTTTTGTTAAGGACCTTTCCCTTCACTATAATATCGAAATGAGTGAAAAAAAAAAAAAAAACTGAACGTGGGCTCTTTTACAAAGAAATAATAATAATAAGTTTTTGTTTTTAAATAATAATAATAATAATAATAATGTAACTACTCCCATTTACAGATTGCCATTTTTTTTTTAATGAACTTATAATAAAATTTTTTTCATGAATAAATTTTCCCAATTTATAAAATTTTGTTTTTCTCTCTTAATATTTTCAAACCGGAAACAGTTTTTTATTTTGTCTATTTTAACATGATAAATTATTTATTAGTTTTGACATTAAATTAAATTATCATCACGTTTTTTTATTTAAAAATAAGGAAGAAAATCAGATGAATCTGATTATTACCTTATCAGATCCGGGAAGGGGGGGAAGGATACAGCATCAATAAAATACCAAAATTAAATAAGATAAAGTATGTAAAAATAGCACGACCGTCAAATATATTATTATTATTATTATTATTATTATTATTATTATTATTATTAAACGAAAGAGTTTGAATAAGGAAAAAAAATTTTTTTAAGTTGACAACTTTTTTCAATGAATAATAATAATAATAATAATAATACATCGAGATGTGTGCGGTGTGTGTACATTTGAATGATGTGATTTTACAGTCTGATGCTCTTCAATCCCAAGATGATCAGAGAGAGAGAGAGAAAGAGAGAGAGAGAGACTTGAATATTATTATTATTAGTATAATAAAGGTATAACTCGAGTTCAGGTACGTATTAATCTGGGTCACCGGTTTTATTCAAATCAAAATGACTCCCATTGTTATTGTCAAGAATATCACACACATTCATTAAACTCCTAAAAAAAAAATAATAATAATAATTAATAGAAAACAAATTATTTTGTTTTCATATTAATTTATTGTAATTTTTTTTTTTAAACGCCATTTAAAAAAAAAGTAAATAATACATTTTTTTTTTTTTTTTTTTTTTTTAAAATTTCATTCATGCAAAGGAAGAAAAATAACCAAAAAAAAAAAAAAAAAATTAAAAATACATTCGAAGTGTTTTAAACGAAATAAAAATTGTAAAAAAAAAAAAAAAAACGAGTACGTATTTTATGAACAATTAATTAATTGTTTTGTCTGAAGCCTAAATAATATTTAGCTTATAAATCAAAATTATTAATTGAACACAAAATAATTTTTTTTTGTTAATTAATTAAGACAAAAAAAAAAAAAAAAATCGAAACGCATTTTATGCAATTTTTTAAATTGATTTTTTGCATAAAGTTTATTATTATTATTATTATTATTATTATTATTATTATTATTACGATTAACGTGTATAATAAACAATAAATAAAAATTTAACTCAAATTTCATGTAATTTAATAACGTCGTAGAATATAATACACTTACACGCACAAATTTTATTTTATTTTAATTTGCATTATTTATAATAATAATAATGAAAAAATTAATTTGGCATTTTGATATATGTAATAAGTTATGCGTTAATAATAATAATTACTTTTACTAAGTTAATTTTTAAACGACCTTATTGGCAGACATATAGACAGACAGACAGACAGACAAACAATTAGACAGATAGAAAGAAGAATAAAACATAATTATGTTTAATGTGTTCAATTGTAATAGTCAAAAACATTCTAAATGACCCACGTTGCATGAATAAAATCTATCTATCTATCAGGCTAATTTATCCTCCGTTAAAAAAAAAAAAAAGAAAAAAAACTTTTAATTAGGTGAACATAAATTACAACAAAAACATTAATTAAAAACTAATTTAAATAAAGTTTTTTTTTTGTCGTCAATTTTTTTAATTGAGAGTTAATAAATAATTACATTTTGTTTTATTTTGCAAATTTATTTATTAAATTGTCTCCCCGAACGAATTAATAACTTTTTTTTAATAATAATCTCTTAGGATAATTAATTTATCTCATGAAATTAATAAATAAAAAATAATTAACCTTTTATAATTATTTTTTAACAAAATTTTTTCCTGGGTATAATTTATATTATTGTTGTTGTTTTTTTTTTTTTTTTTTGAATGAAAATATGTAACATTATAAAGGTGGGAGGGGAGGGGAGTGAGTATGAATTAAAATTAAATAGTATTAAAAAAAACTAACGGTTTAAATTCACACGATGATGTTTTTTTTTTTTTTTTAAACTAACACAATTGTATTAATTCAAAAATTGCCATTTTTTTTTTTTTTTGGTACTTTAATGGTTGTTAACCTAAATTAAATTTATTAAAAAAAAAGAAAGAAATCATTATTATTATTATTATTATTATTTCGTCAGGAAAAAAACGTTAAAATTTGTACTTATTCGATTTATTTTATAGATTGCATTTATTTTTATTTTTAAAAGTTATTATATAATTTTTTTTATAAACATTAAATTATTTTTAATGTTAAGAGAGTATTCGAATAAAAAAAAATAAAAACACATCGTCCTGTTTACCCACTTTTTTAAGTAATTGAACTAAAAAATAAATCGCACTCAATGATATATATTTATATAAAAAGTAGAGTAAATTACTATATAAATTTATAAACTTATTAAAAGTATTATTATTAAATCTAACTTTTATCTTTATAATTTTATTTATTTATTTTATCTTTATTTTATATTTTATCTTTTTAAGTTAATAATTTTATACCTTAGAGCAATGAGAAAGAGAGAGAGGGAAAAACTCGGTTTACTTTTTTTATTTTAATAACAAATTTAATTTTTTTTTTACATATATTTATTTACCTAACGTTTTTTTAGTTCGAAATTTCCGTTCGATAAAATTATTACTATTTAATTAAATGTTTTAAAAAAACATATTTTTATTTATTTTTGGTACCTGATATTTGTACCTGATTGACTGACTGGGTTTCCAATACCTTGTAAATTTTATTTGTTGATTAGTAAAAAAAAAAAATTAAAAATTTATAGGCAAAACAGTAAATTATAAAAAATTATAAATTTTTATAAATTAAACAGTAAATTATAAATTAAAAATTTATAGGTAACAGTTTCTCCTCCAAATTTTTAATTTAACTCGTTTGATAAATTTTATTAAATTATCTAACCTTAATACTCGTTTACACAAAAATATTATTAATATTTTAACTATGACCCTTAATTTTTTATATAAAAATATTATTATTATTATTTTTTGTCGTATTATTGTAAATTGAACGCGATGAACTAAATAACTTGACATTTGTTTTTTTTTTTTTTTTTTTTTTTATTTTTTTTTAACCGCGAATAGTTAATGGTTCATTAATTTAACACAAATAATTATTATAATTATTTTTCCGTCTGTTATTTTTTAGTTTTTTATCCGTGAAAATATTTTTTTTAAATACCGTAATAATATTAATAATAATAATAATAATTTTCCAAAAAATAAGCAAAACCCCTTTATGCCCCTTTTTCCTTTTTTTATTTCAATATAAAAAAAAATCAAATACTTATTTATTTTTTTTAATATCAAAATGAATTAATGATTTATTTATTATTTCATTCAAAATAATAACAAATAATAATAATAATATTAATGTTATGATTATTATTATTATTATTATTATTATTATGAGCAAAATAAACTGGTCGGAACTAATATTTTTGGGGTTTAATTACCCGGAATTTTTGTTTTTATTTTATTTTATTTTATTTTATAATTATACATATAAGAACATCATCTGAACTAGATATTTAATGAAAAGCAATTTTTTCTTTTCTTTTCTTTTTTTTTTTTTTTTTTTTTTTTAACAAATAAATAAAAAAAATAATAATGAATAAGCTTGAAATTGAAGATGATAATATAAGTTCATAGACTTTTATTGTAAGATGAATCCAGCCGGTTTTTTTTTTTTTTTAAAAACTTTTTTGACTAAGCACGACATCCTCAAATTACCTGCAAACTTATCTAAAAAAATAATTTTTTGCTTATCTCATTTTGCTAAA